GGAGGAAGCCCACTTGGTTGTTATGGATTATTTTTTTGATAAGCACCTGAATTCGGTTTGCTAGTATTTTGTTGAGAATTTTTGCATCTATATTCACAAGGGATTATTGGTCTGTAGTTTTCTTTTTCTGTTGTGTCCTTTCCTGGTTTTGACATTGGGATGATGTTGGCCTCATAAAACATGTTCAGGAGGATTTCTTCCTTCTTGATGTTGTGGAATACTTTCTGCAGGATAGGCACCAGTTCTTCTTTGCAGGTCTGGTAAAAGTCAGGTGTGAAACCATCTGGTCTGGGACTTTTCTTTTTAGGAAGGTTTTTTTATTGCTGCTTCATTTACAGTACTTGATATTGGTCTGGTCAGGAATTCTATTTCTTCCTGATTGAGCCTAGTGAGGCTGTGTGTTTCTAAGAGTTGGTCCATTTCCTCCACATTTTCAAGTTTATGTGCAGAGAGGTTTTTATAGTATTCATAGATGATATTTTGTACTCCCATGGCATCAGTTGTAATTTCTCCTTCTTCATTCTTGATGGAGCTTATTATAGTCCTTTCTGTTCTGCTTCTCATTAATCTAGCAAGAGGTGTGTCAATTTTGTTTATTTTTTCCAAGAACCAACTTTTGGTTTTATTAACCTTCTGTATAGTTTTTTTGTTATCAATTTCATTTAGTTCTGCTCTGATATTTGCTATTTCTTTTCTTCTGCTGGGTTTGGGGTTGGTTTGCTTGTCCTTTCCTAGTTCTTTGAGAAGACTGATTCAATTGTTTTTTTGTGATCTTTCTGTCTTTCGAATGTAGGCATTTATGGATATAAATTTTCCTCTCAGGACTGCTTTAGCAGTGTCCCATTGATTTTGACAACTTCTGTCTCCTTTATCATTTAGTTCAAAGAGTCCTTTGATTTCCATCTTGATTTCCTCCTTAACGCAATGATCCTTCAGCAGAACATTGTTTAGTTTCCATGACTTTGTGTTGAGATGAGAGTTTCTGTTGAAGTTGATTTCTAATTTTCTCCCTCTGTGGTCTGAGAAATGCATGGCATAACTTCTATTTTTTTAAAAAAAATTTTGAGACATGCTTTGTGGCCTGGGATATGGTCAATCTTAGAGAATGTCCCATGAGCTGATTAGAAAAACTTACATTCAGTGGTTTTTGGGTAGAATGCTCTGTAAATGTCAGCCAGGTCCATTTGTTGTGGAGTTCTGTTTAAATTCACTGTTTCTTTGTTTATTTTCTGTTTGGAGGATCTGTCCTGTTCTGTCAGAGGGTTGTTGAAGTCTCCGGCTATTACCGTGTTGCCATTTATCATTTTGTTTAGATCAAGTGGGACTTGCTTTATCAATTTGGGAGTGCTTGAGTTATGTGCATAAATATTTAGAATTGTTATGTCTTTGTGTTGAATGGTACCCTTCACCATTATATAGTGACCATCTTTGTCTTTCATTACTTTTGTTGATTTGAAGACTAAGTTATCTGAAATCAGAATACCATGGCAGCTTTCTTTTGGCATCCGTTTGCTTGAAATATTGTTTTCCATCCCCTCACCTTGAGTCTGAATGCATCCTTGGGGGTTAGATGTGTTTCCTGAAGACAGCAGATACTTGGCTTGTGTATATTTGTCCATTCGGCCAGCCTAGGTCTCTTTAGTGGGCAGTTCAAGCCATTCACATTTATTGAGAGAATTGATAAGTGGGGCAGATTTCTGTTTATCCCGTTGAGTTCAACTTTATTGCCTTGCTTTCTCCCTCAAGCCATTGTGGTGTCTGGCCTTTGACATTTAGCTTTTGGATGATTTTTACATTGGTGAGTGTTTATTGTGCTGATTCGTGTGCAACACTGTTTTGAGTACTTCCTGGAGGGCAGGTCTTGTCTTGATGAATTCCCTTAGTCTTTGCTTGTCTGAAAAGGTCTTTGTTTCTCCTTCATATATGAAACTTGGTTTTGCAGGGTACAAGATTCTTGGCTGGGCATTATTATGTTTGAGAAGAGTAAGAATGGGGCCCCAGTCTCTTGTTGCTTGTAAGATTTGACAGAGACATCCATAAACACCTGGACCCAAGAAGAAAAAAAGAAGAAAGAAAAATGAAACTATTCTCTGAGTCTTTGCCTATTGGCTGTGTGTTGGGGCACTCCTTCAACACTTAGCCAGGCCATTTGCAGTTCTGCCTTAGCCTTCACTTCCTGCTTACAGGGAACCTAAGGTCAGCCCGAAGTGAAAGCTTAGGGTCTTCTCAGGTCTTCTCTGAGCGTGTGTCCAGACTTGGGCACATCATGGCCTTCTAATTCCCTGCTGTGCACAGGAGCTTTTCCCAGCCTTTACTCCCCCATGTATCTCCTTCCTCTGCCTCTTCCTTCCCAGAATTTCTTGTCTCTGCTTCCCCTGACTTTTATCCCTTGCCACAGGTGGCTGCAGCTAGTATATTAGCTTTGAGATGCTTCTGACAAACAGAGCTGGAGAAGCCACTTCAGTCAGGAGAAACAAAGGCCAGCCTCTCTGTGATTCTGTGTTTTCACCTGCCTGATGGTGTTTCGTTCAAATCTTGGTCTTTCCTGAATTTTCATTTGCTCAATCTACCAATAATGGAGATAAAATTTTACAATGTACTAGTGGGTTTACCACTTTCTTCTTGTGTTCTATCAATTTCTGACCGACATATTTAGAAAAATTTTTTTCTTTATTTTTTTTTTGTTTTTTTTTTTTCTTTTTTATCTTTTTGCCTTCAGGAGTTTTGGAATGTTTTGAAAATATTTATCGCAGACAAAAGTTTGAATGGTTATATTTTTCTGGTAAATGAACTTTTTGTTATTTTGTAGTCACCTTTTTTGGTCAATGATAATGCTTTCCATATTAAAGTCTAACTTGTCATTAATGTAGCTATACCAACTATCTTTTAGTTGGCATTTATCTCCTGCATCTTCTCCATCTTTTTATTTTCAACTTCACATGATCTTTGATGTTTCAGGTGTTTCTTGTAACTAGTATATTTTTTAAACCAATCTCTAGCTTTTAACCTGAAAGTTTACTTTATTTACATCATTATTACTGATACATGTGAATTTATTTCTATTTTGTTACCTTAGTGCTTTCTTTTCATCCTGTTTTTTATGCTAATTAAGGTGTTATGGTTTTGTTTAAAGTGTATTTTTCCTTTAGTCCAGTTTTTCCTTCAGTTAAATTAGAAGTTATATACAGTGTTACTTTAGTGGTTAGCCTCGAAGTCTTACCTTGAATAATTATCTTGAAGTCTTAAATTATGTCTTAACTCTATTAATTGAGATTTTATTTGTTTATTTCAGAGACGGGGTCTCACTCTGTCACCCAGGCTGGAGCTCAGTGGTGTGATCACATCTCACTGCAACCTCAAATTTCTGGGCTCAAATAATCCTCCTGCCTTAGCCTCCTGAGTACCTGGGACTATAGGCATGCACCACCATGCCTGGCTATATATGGAAATTATTTTCTTCACCTTCACTCTTGAAAGATAATTTTGCTGGGTACTCAATTTTAGGTTGATGGTTATTTTCTGTCCGCATTCTGAAGGTATGTATCCACTGTCTTTCTGATTGCCATTGTTCTATTGAAGAATCTGTTATTAGCCTAACTCTACTTTCTTTGTAGATAACTGAAAAGACTCAGGATTTAACCCAACTTTGCCACTTACTCGTTATATCATCTTGGCATGTCACTTTAATTCTCTAGGCCTCAGTCTCTCATTTCCAAATAGAGAGAACACCAACCTCACAGCTTTGTTGTGAACATTAAGACAGATAATGTATATGAAAGCACTATACAGATGCTTATTATTATCCACTCTTGCCTGTCTCTACCTTGTATTACCATCTTGTTCACTTCCCTCTACCACTGGAAGTAGTTGGAAAGGGACAAATAGGTCAGAGCAAGGAATTCACAGCCAAAGTTAGAAATAAAAAGGCAAGGCTTCTTCTGAGGAGGTCAAGTTTCTATAATAGGAATCTAAGATGTCAGATAGTAGTACAACTTTTATATTCCAACCCTACTGCCATTGCTTTACTTCAACTTTTCATTATCTCTTGCCTGGATAATTGCATCATTAGCATTTCTTCCTTCAGGTTCTTAGGCCTTTAATTCACCCTCCTCATACTGTCAAAGCCATCATTCCTAAATGAAAACATGATTACTTTCCTGATTAATATCTTATGGTGAGTCCCCGATTGGATTAAGTATATAGTCTATGTGCTTCCAGAACATTCTCTATCACAAAAGTGGCAGAGCATTGGGATTATCAGACAGTGGTGTTCACTTCAGACCACGCAAGTTCATATCCCAGTCTTCTAGTTAATAACTGGGCGACTTTCCAGCAAATCATTTAACTTTGGAAACTGTAAAATAGTAAAAATAGTCAGTACTTCATCACATTGTGAATACATGCAGTGTATACTACTTAAGTGCTCAATAAATGTTGCCTGTTATTGTTACAGTTTGTTATATTCTAATTGTTGTCCCCTAATAAACTATAAGATAAATACCTTAGCAATTTATTATTGTGGATGACATCGTAATTGACTACTTCTCAATCTCTCCATTATGCTCCAATAACTTCGGGGGAGAAACTGCCTTACCTAGAGGCTTACATATTATTTGGTACTCAGTTATTGTGGGAATTGAGCCACAGGCAGAACCAAAAAGCTGGCCGTTTCTGCCCTGGCCTTGTCACGGTTCAGTCCATAGCTGGACTTTGAAGTGCTGCCCCAATTTTTGGGCTCCTGGCTTGGAGGAATTGCAAGCCTTGGCCTGCACAACAAAGAGAGATGCCAGACATTCAGCAAGCGTCTGTGAAGCAGTTATTGAGAGTGAAGTTTAAGGGTACAAAGCGAAAGTACATTTCCTAAGGGGAAATGGGTCTGTCTCCACAAGTGGAGAAGACCCTGTCCACTTCTTTGTTTTTCTTTTTATATGCTTTATGTTTAGGCAAAGGTTAGTTGTAATTAGGGCTGACTTCCTTTCTCTGTTTTTTTTTCCTGGGGGAGATATATTTATTTTTGGTAACATACATCAAGTGGCACTAATTATACAGTAACTATAAGGTAACGAACATGAAACCACAGAACTGTAACTGCCACAGCTGTATGGACTTGGGCCTTTCTTGCTGAGCACATTTTCAAGAAACTGGATGCCCACCCCAGAGCTATGCCAATGAAATCTGTTAAGGAGAAAAGCTCCAAAGTGGTGACACATCAGAATACGTGCAGCTGACAGATGATAAGCAGGACATGTTAGTTATAAAGTAGTTACAGCCTAACTCACAAAAGTTACCAACTGTTTCTCTTTCTAGAAAGAAGTAAGAAGTTATTAAGAAATTCCTTGAATTAGCACACCTGGTGTGTCAGGCGGAGTGCAGAAAAGGGGTGTTAGAGCAGTGTCAGAAAAACCCTGGTGGGCCAGATTGGTTGGACATCACTAATAATCATGGCTGGCTTCTAAATACTGGTAGCAAGATGACTTATGATTTGTAATCTTAGGTAAATTATAGATAAATGAAAAAGGCCAGTAATCATACACTGAAATTAATAAATAGCACTTCAAAATTAACCACATAAGGGCTGTGCTTGCAGCAAAGCACAAGACAGGACACCCAGATTTTTTCTTTCCACGTCTGGCTTGTAGAGCAGCTCTCATAGCCATTTCAAAAATCTCCCTCACTCCATCTTTGGTCTTTGCTGAACACTCCATGTACCCAAAAGCGCCAATCCTATTTGCTGTATCTCTGCCTGCTTCAGGTTTTACAGGCGCCTGCTTCATCTTGGCTAGCTCCTGCCTTGTGTACTCATCATTTCAAAGATCCTTCTTGTTCCCAACAAGGATGATGGGCACATTGGGACAGAAATGCTTGACTTCCGGGGTCCATCTGGGGTGTTTTCTAAACCGTCAGGGCTGTCAATGGAGAAACACATCAGTATAAACTCAGTGTGTAGCTAAGAGAGGGGCTTCAGGTGGTCATATCTTTCTGCCCAGCTGTATCCCACATAGCCAATTCTACCTGCTTTCCACCCACCTCGGTATCTGCCACATAGTTCTCAAACACCGTGAACACATCCTCCTCTAGGAACTGGTCCTTGCTGAAGACTATGAGCAAGTATGTCTTGCCACAAGCTCCATCATGCGCTCACTTTCAAGCAAGGTGGCATACCTTTGGCTTTTCAGAGTATTATATTACCGATTCTTTCTGTTGGCAGCCATGGCTTACACATGCCCTGCGGGATGTACGCCGTGGTTGGCAAAAGTTGTACAAAGTACCTTGAACTTCTAGATGAAAGGCTCAGGCGACGACTTGGAGCCGACCTCTTCCTGCTGAGGACTCTTGTTCGCCAGTCACAAGCTCAGAAACAAGCGAGCAAGTAGCTGAAGAGACTACTGACTAAGGAGCGAGCCGGTGCCTCTCTATGTTCGCACATGACTTAAGGGTTATGTTATATGTACCGTGGGGAAAGTTCCATTCCCCTTCTCTGGTGGTCAGTGTTCCGTGGCCTAATGACCTCATTCTTTAATATTGAAATAACTGTTCCCTCTTTTTATTTTTCTGCAACCATTTTCTCCTTATTATTTTTCCGTAACTGCTTTCTCCTTTCTGTTTTTCTGATTTCCATTACCTCTCACTTGTTTTTCTGTCCCTAACAGCCTGAGGTGAATTATGTTAGTAGCACTGTCCCTCGGAGTCAAGCTGCGCTCACTTTCAAGCAAGGTGGCATGCCTTTGGCTTTTCAGAGTATTATATTAGTGATTCTGCCTCCCACCTCCAAATAAAAGGTGTCTTGCAGGGGGATAAAAGATGATAATACTCTACACACACACACACTCACACACACACACACCCCTATCGCGAGGGATGAAGGGCTAAGAGTATCGACGTACCAGGGACACACACTTCAAGAGACAGGCTGCAGAGAAGGCAAACCCGACCAGAGAAAAGGTGCCCGGTGCGTTGCAGGGTGCGCACCTTTCTTACATCTTCAGCTCTAAGAGTCTGCAGCTCAAGGTATGCCAGCATCCTCGAGAAAACAGAGATAAAGCACGAGCCTGCGGGACAACTGGACGATCTGGTTACAGTTGAAAGGAGGTTTTCTGCACCCTGCAGATTTTGACGTGTTCTGGGTACAAGACTTTCAGGGCCACCTGTCCTACGGTGCTCTAACGCACCTGCGCGGCTACCTCCGAGGTAGCCGCGGCTTCCCAGGCAGGGGCGGGAATCGCGCCGGCACCGCCCCTCCGAGCGGCGCTGCGCGCGTGCGCACCGGCTGCGGACCGTGCGCGCCCGGGGCGTTCCTTTCCGCTGGCTCAGGTTTCCCGGGAGGCGCCGCTTCTTCCGCCTTCCCGGCAGGCCCCGGTAGCCGCAGGCCTGGACCGAGGTTTCGGAGCTGCGGGGTGGGAGGCAGTGTGTCATCTTCCTCCCGTTCCGGCGAAGGCCTGGTCGCTGCGGGCCGGGCCCCAGGGCGCCCCCCATGGCCGGGCAGCGGGTGGAGGTCGATGGCGGGATCATGGAAGGGGTGAGTGTGGAGCCGGAGGCAAAGCGACGGGGGTACAACCCAGCCTAAGCGTGGAGCTTTCACGCCTAACGTTCTTACATCTCTTCTCCCCGCATCCCCACCCTTGCAGGGCGGCCAAATCCTGAGAGTCTCTACGGCCCTGAGCTGTCTCCTGGGCCTGCCCTTGCGGGTGCAGAAGATCCGGGCCGGCCGCAGCACGCCAGGACTGAGGTAAATCCGGGTGGCTGCTGCGGAGTTGGGGGATCTGGGCGCTGGGCCTCTGGGCTGGGGGATGGCAGTGCGGGCCGCAGGATCCGGCCAGGCCGCTGGGCTAGGGGATCCGGCGTCTGAGCCGTGGAGCCGAGAAGGCCCGGGGATCTGAGGACTGGGGCCGCGGGGTCTCGCGGCGGCGGGGGCGGCGCTCGGGCCTCCCTTCCCGCCCCCGGAATGCTCTGCCTGGGCAGTGGCTTGGGTTACGTGGTCTTGAAAGCCTGGAGGGGCGAGTTTAGAAACAGGCCCGTGTTTTCTCTGTGTGGCTGAAGTTGTCTCTTTTGTTAAAGAGGTATCTTTTAAACTGTTTCCCCACCTCATCGGGCATTCCAAGTATCGGGAGAGCACATATAACAGGCAACATAGACGGGGCAGAAAGGCTTGTGAGGCCAGAGGAAACCCCACTTTATAACCAGTGCATTATGTGCTACCGCACATTTTAGAAATCATAGAACAGGAAAGGATCCGAGATGTTATTCCAGCTTTCGTTCATGCCTCCAGAAAGCTGTGAATATGGCTAGAATTATCTGTTGTGAACAGAGAAACACCTTGACGCTTGACCTTCTTGTTTCTTCTGTCTGGGAAGCTGGACATGCCACTAGTTAAGTTTCAGGTATATGCACCTGATAGAAGACCAGATTGAAGCCAAACTGGTTCCTTTGTATGTATTCTGTATATATTCCATTTTAAGAAATCAGTCTTTTATCCACCATCAGTTTTGAAATTATTAAAAGGCAATTAATTGATGTGTGTCAGTGTTAACTCCCTTTGTCGTAGCAGTTGTTTGCAGCAATCCAGTTCACCAATAGGGCAATCCAATTCATTAAGGCTGTGGTATGTACTGTATTAGTTTGCTAGGGCTGCCATAACAAAATATCACACACTCGGTGTTTTAAACAGCAGAAATTTATTTTCTCACAATTTTGGAGGCTCAAAGTCCCAAGATCAAAGTGCTGCCAGGGTTGGTTTCCTCTTAGGCCCATTAAGAGGAGAATCCTGTTCCAGGCCTGTCTTCTTGTCTTTTCACATGGTGGTCCTTCACCATTCTCCTGGTGTCCTGTATGTCCTAATCTCTTCTTAGAAGGACACCAGTCAGATTGTATTAGGACCCATGTTAATGGCCTTATTTTAACTTCTTTAAAGGCCCTATTTCCAAATGTAGTCACATTCTGAAATACTGAAGGTTAGGGTTTCAGCATATGAATTTGGGGGAAGGGGAACAATTCAGCCCATACGGGTACCATAGATTATTCAGTGAAGTGCAGATGAGACTGATAGCTCTTAGGTAGCTTTATTAGTTTTCCTCTTTTGCACACTTCTAATTTAGAGCAATACATCAGTGTATGTATTTATAGCCAAAATAATTGGTCTCAAAGGAACCCTTAAAATGATGCCTACTAGTAGGTAGTCTGGAAGCATGAAAACCCAAAGAAAGGTGACATTGAAGATGTGGCACTTACTGTGGTTAGACCTTGCTGTTTTCTTGCCATTGCAGTTTTATAAATGTGTCTAAAATGTGGGGATATAGGCACTCTGAGTGCACACGTTTTGATGCAGTGTTATGACCTGAAGGCCTCAACATTTATCTGGACTGGAAATGATTCGAGATTTGTGTGATGGGCAACTGGAGGGGGCAGAAATCGGCTCAACAGAAATAACCTTTACACCAGAGAAGATCAAAGGTGGAATCCACACAGCAGATACCAAGACAGCAGGGTATGTGTTACTTACATTTCATTTAAGTATGGGTTTTGGACTTAAATCCAGGTTTTACCACTTTCTGGGCAAGTTGCTTAACTTCTTTGAGCTTATTTTCCCACTTTTAAAATGGGGAAACTTACCTTTTAAGCTTAGAGACAATGTATATAAAGTTGTAGCTACCTAAGTCTTTGTTAATTGTAGCTATTATTGTATCTGGAATTTTCTTGTGTGTAGTATGGTGTAGTATATTTGTTTCTTTGCTTTTTATTATTTAGAAATTGGGCCAGGCACAGTGGCTCATGTATTTTGAGCACTTGTAATCCCAGCACTTTGGGAGGCCAAGGCAGGAGGATTACTTGAGGCCAGGAGTTTGAGGTTACAGTAAGCTATGATCATACCACTGTGCTCCAGCCTAGGCAACAAAGCGAGACTCTGAGACCCTGTCTCTAAAAAAAGGAAGAGAAAAGAAAAAAGAATATCTGAAACCAACTTCAGTTTTTGTGTTCTATAGTCTTTGCATTGTAGCAAATTGAGTTCTTGGCTTACAGCTAATTATAAACCATATTCTACTTACGGTCTAGATATTTTTGTTGTCTTTCAATAGATACTTATGCAACTCTATTTAGAAATTTTAGATATAATCCTGATATTTTTCTCCCATTGGAAAATAGACATTTAACAATTAAATTGAGTTCTTATTTTCTAAGTATCCCTTTTATTGATAAAACAGGGAGAGCAATTGATTTTTTTTTTTTAATTTATAAAATATCCTTTATTTATTCTAAGGAACACAGTCAAGTAGTAGCTTAAAAAAAAAAGAAAACTCAACACACTTTTTGCAAGATTATTAGTGTTGTGACCTGGCTTGGAGCCCCATGAGCGGGATGGTGGCCACCTGCTGTGGCTTTGCCAGTTCTCTGCAGTCACTGGCAGGGGTTTGGTAGCAAAGAGGGAAGCTTTGGCACACCTCTGACCTGTTGCTCGCAATCAACAATAGTTTTGAGGATTATGAAGAGCAGAAATAACATTTATATTGCTGGATTTAACAAAAGATTACTTATAAATATATTCATTCCAGGAAGTGTAAAAATGTTTCAAAGGAATTGATAATTTGTACTTATTTATGGAGACTAGGTCTGTTAGAATTACAGCAGTACTATGGGAGCATAGTCTTTCCCTACAAATTCAGATATTCCCAAGTTGATGTAAAATCATACTTCCTGATTTGACTTAATTAGTACAGAAACAGAGTAACATTTTAATCAGATAGGGTTACTCTTTTTCTCCCCTTCTTTTTTAGCATGATGATTTAATTAAAATATAGTTTGCCCCAATCAGTAAATAACCATGCTATCACACCAGAAAAATCCATAAATACACACAGCATTGAGCTATTTTCACAAAAGACTTCCTTTCTAATAAACACAGGGCTTTCTCCTCCTCTCAGATGTCAAAATGCAGATGTGCCAACTATAGGCCCGTTGCTAAGCAGAGAAGCCCAGCACGTTTGTCCAGCAAATTAGATTGTATGGAGGGAGGGCATCTCCTCTGCAGCCCCAGGCAGGAGGTGGCTGGGTGTGCTCCTGTCCTCTGAGGCAGGTCAAGGCTGGTGGCCTTCAGGGGGCAGGTAAAAGGGTCCTCATGGGTTAGCACATAAAGGCTTTGAGGAAAAATAGAAAAAGCCTCATTAAAATGGGAGGTCTACATGAATTCATTCAAACTCCTTCCCTTGGACATACTGAGATCATGTTCTGAGCCTAGGTGACCTGTAGTTCTCATGCTGGCTGCCCGTCTCTGTGCCCCTGGCTGACCTGAGCCATGGCCCGCCACCTTCTCCATGCCGCTATGTGGGGCTCTAAATAGGATGTCACCCCCAACCAAAAGACAGAAAAAAAATCCCAAACATTTAAGACTGAGTTCAAAAGTCCCTGGACATCTGTCTATCTTTCCCTGGTTTGCATCTGGTGAGGGGCTGTGAATCAGAATTCAGAATCTGTGCTGCCCAGAGGGGACAGACAGCAGCAGCAAGGAAACACCCAAATGCAATAAATAACACAAAGCTCAGGACCAGCCCCTGCCCCTCCCCCAGCTACCACTGCCGGTTACTCATCTGAACTGAAGGAATCGAGGGAGGAATTCCACCCCCAAACCTCCCTGCACAACTTCAAGTGCAGGAATCCAGCCGCTGCTTCTGCACAGGATGGAGCCTCAGTCTTTCGCTTTATAGCATCATTTATGGCATGAAGTAGGAACGGAATGTGTTCACACAAACACACGACAATTATACATCAGCATCTTTACAATATTAAAGGAGTCATATACAAGTCTACAGGCATTGTACACAGGGTGGAGAAGGCCAGGGAGCCCCACCCACCAGTTCTCCGCAGGCTCCCCACCCAGGAAGGGCCAGCACTTGGGGACAAGACAGGGCCGAGGAGGGTCCATCTTTGGGCCTGTCATCTGGGAGGCAGCAGGTCTGCGAGGACCCCTCAGGGCCAGTCCTCATTGGAATTCGGGGTCAGGAGGGCCAGGTGTGCCTGTGTCCGGGTCTTATCGGCAGGCTGGCATGACAAGTATAATTGAAACTCGGTGTGCACGTTAGCGTAAGAAAGTTGGAGCTGGGGATGGCTCCCTGAGCTGGGGACCCAGAGGAGATGCTGACAGATGGGCCCCTTCCTGAGGTAAGGTGCGGCCCTGTGGCTGGTCAGAGTGGGCGGAGACTTCTCCAGGAGCCCAGGTGGGAGGACACGCAGACAGGACTGGAAGCCCCTGGGCATGAGCAGGTCAGGTGACCCACCAAGTGCAGCCTGAGCCCCAGGTGGTTACAGAGCCACCCAGCCCCCACTCCCTCCTCCCAGCAGCCCTGCCCCTGGGGGCCCTGCTTGGCTCTGCAGCCATCCCTGCATCTGTCCCGAGCGCCCCAGCGCTGCAGGCTCCTGGGCCCGAGCGCCGCGCAGCTCATTGGCGTGTGGGTGCGCTGCGCGTCCCACTGAGAACTGAGCACCAGATAAAGAAGTGTTGGTCCTTGTCGGCCTCCCCGACGTGAGCAATTACACTTGCTTCCGTTTTAAATACTGTAGAAAAATAAGCCATCTCTGACTCAAGGAGACCCACCAGAGTCTGCCACTTGTGGAGAAGGACAAAGGCTCCTCTGGGGTAGCTGCGGACGCCTCTGCTGACCCTACCTCAACGGGCCCCGCAGCCTCAGAGGACGCTGCACCAGGCTGGGGGGCAAGGGGCTGGGAGAGCTGGCAGCGGAGTTCCCACGACGGCATCTTTGGGTCACATCAACAGTCCTTCGGTGGGCATGCCTCCAGCATCCCACGTTCTGTCGCCATGACGCTGGGGCCCTGGTGCTCCCTGGGCCGCCTTTGCACCTTCCAGCCCTGCCCTCGGTCTCATGCCCACTGCTGGGCACACGCAAGAAGACGCCCCAGCACTGTTTCCAGGTCCCCGGGGTGTCCCAGGCGGGTAGCAAGGCAGGGCCTAGTCCAAGGGCTCCTGCTTTATCCGGACAGCAGTGGGAGTGGGCTGTGGTCGCCGCTCCTCCCGGCAAAGCACATACTCGCTGAACTGGGAGGAGTCCACGCCGCCCCCACAGGACGCGGCCACGCTGAAACCCCTCTGGAACAGCCTCTCCAGGACCTGCACCGAGTTGAGCCGGCAGTAGCCGTTGAGCGGGAAGCGGATGACGTGCGTGGGGTCCTGGTTCCAGCCGGCATTGACCGAGTTGCACATGACGTCCCTGGTCTCGGGGAAGACCTCCTCGATGAGGGCTTTCTCGCCGCTGAGCGCGATCCGCTCCCCCAGGTCAGGCGTCACGCGCACCACCAGGCAGTCGCAGGCCCGGCTGTGGCGCCGCTGCTCCTGCTCCTGCTGCCAGCGCTCCAGCTCGCGCACCATGGGCTGCAGCTGGTAGTACCGCGCCTCCTCGTACAGCAGGCTGAAGTCCTTGAAGTCATCCGGGAGCAGCAGTTTTGACGTCCGCAGGAAGCTCAGGACGTAGCGGAAAATCTCCCCATCCCGGTCGATGAAATAATGTTGCTTCAAACTGTCCAGGACGATGGGTTCGGTGCCATTGAAGAGGCGGCTTATCCTGGAGTCAGGGTACTTCGTGAGCGTGGCCAGGCTGCTGGTGTACATGTGGCCGCCCACATCGATGTGCACAGGCGCGTTGGACTTGGTGAGCTGAGCTGGCAGTGGGATCCCCTGGGCAGCCAGGGGGGACACGGGCGACCGGGTGAGAGATAGCCGGGACATGTTTCCTCCCTCCGCGGTGCCGCCGCTGCCCTGTGCGTGAAGTGAGGACCCGCTCGGCCGCTCCTTGCGGTGAGGCATCTAGGCTTCCATCGCTGCCCAGAGTACCATTGGAAGCCCCAGGCTTTACGCCTTCACCCGAATCTCCAACGCTCTTGCGGACAAACGCATCTGTGCCGGGCCACGGCCTTTCCCCCAAGACCACTGCTCGGAGCCGGAGCGGCGGATCCGGCTCGGGCGCAGCCCCCGCCCCCCGCAGCCGCCGGTCTCGGGCGCCGGGCGCAGCCTCGCCGCCTATGCTCGCCGGGCGGGTCGCTCCGGTCTCGTCCTGGAGTTACTTTCTCTCTCGCCCCCAACCTTCCCGCCCCGGCCACCGCTTCGCGCGGCCCCTCGCGGCGCGGCGCGCCGGGGCCTCCGAGAGCAATTAATTTTTGTATTGCTTTTCTCAGCTGTTTTGGATGATTGCTATTGTTAACAGCTTTGTTTTACCAAAATTTTTCCATTTGTTAGGAAATTTGATGAGCTAAGTAAGAAATGTTGCTGTAAACCCGATGCCATTTTGTTTCAGAAATGACTGTTTTAATGAATTATGATTTCTTAGTTTAAGAAAATGCTTAGTAGTAATTGAGACTTGAATTATGATTTAAATAGACCTCTATGAAAAGGGACCTGCTGTAAGGCCTAAGGTGAGCTTTGCCAAGTGAGAACTTTCCTAAGGAAATTAAAGAATTTTGAGCTTACTTTATAGTCAGCATATTATTTCAGGCATTCTCCTGTACAAAAAGAGGGAAAAAGTCATAGTTAACCAATTGTCTAAAAATGAGCTAAAGTAGAATCATAGAATTTTGAAAGTACAAGAAGAAATGTATATTCTAACCCTTCCTCCCCTTTGTGAATGAGGAAGTCCAGACTCCCTGGGGTTAAGTGTTTTACCCAAGATCATAAAGTTGGGGTCAGAACTGGAATTAGAATCTAGACCTTCTGGCTCTTACTCCACTAGAATGTATGGAAAATAAATTTAAAGTTGATAATCCAGCTCCATTCAGAAGATTAAAGCAAACAGAATCCTAGCAAGAAAACACATTATCACACTTACTTATTCATGTTTATCCTTAGTTGTGATTATAGTACCATGTATTTTCTCAGTCTGTCTTTGTCTTTGCAATTCTTTAATCCTAAAATTAAAGTTTTTCTATTTTAATCTTAGAATCTGATTTTAAGGAGGAGAAAAGAAACACTTTATATGTTGGATTACTCACAGAGAATAAACAATGAGAAATCTAGTAGCTATATAAGCCTATGGTTTATAATAAGCTAAACATTTCAAAGTTTTTTTAATTTGCTCCTAGGCTCAACTCCTTGAGAACAGGGATTATAGTGCATGCATTTTTCTCTTGCAATGCCAAACACATTACATAGTCAATAAATATTTATCGAATTAATGAAATTCATTATCCATGATAGTGGCTTTCTAGTTCAGTACATATGCATCATTGTGGTAAGCAAGTTAGGTAGAGGTCTGTCTTTTGGTAGGAAGAAGCTATGTAGAATTCTATTTCAAACTACAGTCTACTTAGGAATATGATTGCTTTCCCTTAATTTTGGAGAAGGGAGATAACAGCTCATTTAGAAAAATATGACCAAATTTTCCTTTTATAAAATTCTTCCTGTTATATAACTGTTTCTCATGATTTCTCAGATTATTTGACTATAAGGACCAAACAGAGGCAAGTAAAGCAAGGATTATTTCCCTACAACTTTCCTGTGTAAAATATTCAGTTATCAGTCTTTGTAAAATATTCTCACTTTGAGGCTGCATGGAACTATGATGATGCCACTGCACTCTACCCAGGGCAACAGAGCGAGACCCTGTCTCAAAAAAAAAAAAATTATTATGTCATGAATTCCACAATAGTAGGAACTATATCTTAACCTGATACTTGTAATAGGACCCTGTGCAAGGTAGCAAGTCAGCTATAATTAATTGAATATTTCTAGACCTTGCCTGTTTTGAATCCATTTTCATAAACTGCTACTAGTTTTTTAATTTTTTGTAGCAACAAGATCTTGCTGTGTTGCCCAGGTTGGTTTTGAATTCCTGGCCTCAAGCATTCCTTTTCCCTTGACCTCCCAAAGTGGTGAGATTACAGTCATGAGCCACTGCACCCGACCTTCTGTCTTTGAGATTCAGGATTTTACCATTCAGATATTGAAGTGTTTTTTTAACTTTAAACTCAAGGGCAGCATGTACCTACCTTCTCAGTTGTCTATGCTTTAGTTAGTAGTGATGAGCAATAATATAGCTTTTTTGGGACTTTTAGAGGAAAATACAGCTAAGCCTGTTTTGCCTTCTCCTTAGGAGTGTGTGCCTCCTAATGCAGGTCTCAATGCCCTGTGTTCTCTTTGCTGCTTCTCCATCAGAACTTCGTTTGAAAGGTGGAACTAATGCTGAAATGGCACCACAGGTCGATTACACAGTAATGGTAAGGGCTTTTATTGTGGACAAACTGAGATCTCATATTCTTCTGAATCTCCATTCTCTATTTAAATGTATCCTGAGTGTTTTCGTGTACATTCCTGTTTATTTCTTCATGGTTTACTTCTATTGAAGGAGAGGATGAGGAATTATATTTAACTTTTTAATTTTACTTTAGAATAGTGTTCATAGTGAATTCTTTAAAACCCCAAGTGTTATTAATATATAAATTATATCAGCCATTATATAAGTTTTTTTAATAACTGCAGGAATTATGATTTGGAGGAAAACTCAAATATTTTTAAAATGATAAAACTCAATACTGGCATGCTCGTACAACTAGTGGGAGAGAATGGCATAATGTTTTTTTCTCCAGGTTTATTGAGATATTATTATTTGTAATTAAATTCACCCTTTTATTGATTGATTGATTGAGATGAGGTCTTGCTCTGTCACCCAAGCTGGAGTGCAGTGGTGTGATCATAGGTCACTGCAGTCTTAAACTCCTGGGCTCAAGAGATCCTCCTGCCTCAGCCTTCCAAGTAGCTAGGATTATAGGTGTGCATCACCATGCCCAGCTAATTAAGTTCACCCTTTTAAATGTACAATTCTGTGATTTTTTCCCAAATAGAAAGTTTTGTTTTTTGGGGTTTTTTTGTAGATATAGAATCTATGTTGACCAGGCTGATCTCAAAGTCCTGGCCTCAAGCAGTCCTCTTGCCTCAGCCTCCCAAAGTGCTGGGATTACAAGTGTGAGCCACCGTGCCTGGCCTAGTTCTGTGATTTTTGATAAACATACCGTTGTGAATCAACCACCATAATCTGGATATAGAATAGTTCCATTACTCTTAACAAATTCCTTCATACCCCTTTGTAATCAGACCTGTCCTCCAGTGCTTGGTAACTACTGTACTGTTTTCTGCATAGTTTTGCTTTTTTTCAGAATGTCATATAAAGGTATCATACTGCATGTAGCCTTTGAGTCTTTTTTTTTCTTTTTTGCTTACCATAATACATTTGAGATTCATCATGCTGCTTATATCAGCAATTAAAACGTGTAAGTGTTCTATTATATTGGGTGTACCAATCTCCATCCATTCATCTGTTGAAGGATATTTGGGTTTCCGTTTTTCAAATGAAAAAACTGATAATGAATCTAAATTTAAAAGTATAACATTGAGTTAATCAGGGACATACAACTGTATCTAACAAAAAAAGCACTATTTACCTGTAATACCTAATTACTAGTTCAGCGGAGCACTTTTGTTTAATAAATATACTTGTCGAATTGGTGAATACTGGTGGTTAACATAACATTAAACTGATTTTTCAGGTTTTCAAGCCAATTGTTGAAAAATTTGGTTTCCAGTTTAATTGTGACATTAAAATGAGGTGAGTTTCTTATTTTCTTAGCCCTTTTGATTCGTTACTTGTGCTAAAAATAGTGGAAAAGATAAACCTTAGAGAACTGTCATTCTGGAACCCACTTAACATATTGCAATTCTTGCGGGAAGTAAATGTACTTTATGGCTTAACAACAATAAACAGCAGGGGCATAGGGACATAAAAACAGTTATACGTAATATTTGTTTCTTGGGAAAATATTTTCCAGGGAATTGAGTCACCTTCATATTAAGTGTTATTCCATGCCCCAGCACAGATTAAATGCTCACTCTGCACAGACAACTGGACGAGGCACTGTGGTGTCATAAAAGGGGTTCTCTTCCACAATGCCATCAAAATTATTTTCCTAAGAAACACATTGCGCATTCAGGTTGTTTCTCTTTAAAGCTCCCCTTTTGTCACACAGTAACAAAGCCAAATTTCTTGGCATGGCATTTAAATATTTGCTTGCAGATTTATTCCAACTTTTCTTTTTACCTTCAGTATCTCTTCCCTTCTTTCAACATACCATATATTCTAACTATATAATTGCTTGCTATTCCTTAAACATATTTTGTGCCTTTGGACTTTGTCTTTATTCATGTTATTTTTTTCCCCGCTCTCTAAAAAGTTAGAAATCCTGTTTTTTCCCAAAATGAAACTTGTAGTTTCTTATACGTACCTCAGTTGGAATTCATGTTTGTACCTATGTTGTAGTCTTCCTTACAGCCTAACTTGTATTCTAGTATAGTGTGTGGAGCCATCTCCCCACTCCATGGTGAGCACTTGAGGAGAGGAGTGCTGTTGTTCTTAGTATCTGCTATAGAATAAATGACACAGCATAATTGAGTTAAAATTTTTTTAGTGTTCAGCTACTTAAATATTCATATGTTTGAGCACCTGCCATGTGCCAGACATTGTTTTAGGCACAGGAAAATAGCAGGAATAAAATAGGTAGATCCAGCTTACATTCTATGACAGCACTAGCAAATAGAACTTTCTGCGCTGAGGGAAATGGTCCCGGTCTGTGCTGTCCAGTATGGTAGTTACTAGCCAAATGTGACTGTTGAGCACTTGAAATGAGGTAGTGCAACCTGGGAGCTGACTTTTATTTATTTATTCATTCATTCATTCATTCATTCATTCATTTTTATAGAGATAGGGTCTCATTCTGTTGCCCAGGCTGGAGTACAATGGCATGATCATAGCTCACTGCAGCCTCAAACTCCTGGGCTCCAAGTGATCCTCCTACCTCAGCCTTCTGAGTAGCTAGGACTATAGGCACAGGCCACCATGCCTGGCCAATTTTTAAATTTTTTGTAAAGGTAGGGTCTCGTTAGGTTGCCCAGGCTGGCTTCAAGTAATCCTTCCGCCTCATCCTCCCAAAGTGCTGGGATTGTAGGCATGAGCCACCATGCTTGGGCCTAGATTTTTAAATTTTCTTTAATTTTAGTAGTTGTACCTAGCTTGAGGCTATCAATATTGTATAGCACAGACCTAAAATATTCTTTAGACCTTTCCATGAATTACCTGTTTGTATATCATTCATGTGTTATTTTATTATAATAGCTTCATTTTTGTCATGCAATCAGTTTATGTGGGTATTTGTTGTACTTTTCATAGGGGATATTACCCAAAAGGGGGTGGTGAAGTGATTGTCCGAATGTCACCAGTTAAACAATTGAATCCAATAAATTTAACTGACCGTGGCTCTGTGACTAAGATATATGGAAGAGCTTTTGTTGCTGGTGTTCTGCCATTTAAAGTAAGTTGTCTAGATATTCTTAGAAGTATATGTATGTCTTGATAAGTATTATGTCATTTAAATTTTGAAATTATGGAAAAAACTGATTTTTAAATCTTTTTATTAAAATTTTTCTTAAAAATTAGTGCTCTCTCTACTCTTAAAAATCAAGTTATTAAATAATACATGTAAAAGTTATAAGTTGTTTTATGTGTCTTCGAAGGCTTGAAACAATTTTCCAAATAATCAGTAATTATTTTATTCTATTTTTCTGTCTTGCCAAAATAGGTAGCAAAAGATATGGCGGCGGCAGCTGTTAGATGCATCAGAAAGGAAATCAGAGATTTGTATGTTAACATCCAGCCTGTTCAAGAACCTAAAGACCAAGCATGTGGCAATGGAAATGGAATAATGTGAGATAATATACTTTTTCCTAGATGTTGGTTGAGAGCCTTGAATAATTATCCCATTTAATTTAAAGATTTATAGTTCTTTTGCTTAAATTTATAGTTTTAAGAAGTTTAGGTTTATATATTTAGGGGCTTTCCTACCTAAAACAACAGTATGAAGAATTAAGATGATTATTTTGCATTTTTTCTGCAGATGGTTTGCCTTTTATTACATTGTAAGACCCCTTTTGTTTACATAGTGAACTTACATGTTTAAGCTAATCAGAAGTTAGGCTTTGAAGCTGATCCTACAAGAAATATTTGTAGTAGTTTAAAATGCTTTAAGTGTGAAATAGTTCACAAATAAATATTAAATATGGCAAAGATCTCTTTAAAATTGGTATAGAACTATTGCTTTAATCCAATTAGGAGTTATCGATTTAAGTGTTAAAAAAATTCTTTAATTGATGTTTTCAAAGTATAAAAGTATCATTTGTGGATATTTAAATTTCAAACCCTCTTATTCAGAATTTCTATTAAAGGGTTTAATAGGCTTGCTCTACTTATGACAATACTTTCTAAAAGCTATAGAATGATACCAAAAGTCCCTGCATAAGAACCTTTTTACTTAAGATGATCCTAAAACACTTTATAGCCTGTATGCCTGTAAAATGGTACCCGTTAGTGCTGATGATATGGTAACTTCCAGGGGCAGTGGGGTGGGGGGACCGGACAGGAGGGCATTTCTTACCTTTGGATTAGAATCTAGTGTGACTTCTAGTCAAATGCTGAACGATACTAATGGCCTGTTAAGCCTGATGGAAAGTGTTAATCATGCTGCTTTCTCTGTATGAAGAATTTCACTTTTGCAGAATACTGACCAGATTTAGTTCTGCCTATTTAACAGTCTCTGTTTTCCTGTGTTGTATTTGTATGTAATTTTAGAATATTTATAGCATAGGTAGTAATAACTTTTTTTTCTTGTATAGAATTATTGCTGAGACATCCACTGGCTGTTTGTTTGCCGGATCATCGCTTGGTAAACGAGGTATAGATAAATGAAGGGGGTCCGTGGTTCCCAGTGCTATTGTAAAATTCTTTAATCTATCAGGATTGGAATGTTATAGACTGATGAATGACAAGTTTAAAAAGATATCGTTAACTGATTCTGTTTTAGAGTCAATTAAACTTTCAGTCTTTCTCCCACCTTTATACTTGAAAAATTTCAAAACCTATAGAAAAGTTGAATGTCTAGTTCAACTAGTCATCCATACACCCTTCTCCTAGATTCACCCATTGTAAACATTTAGTTACTTGTATATGTTTCTGAGCCATTTCAATGTAAGTTGCAGGTACCGCGTGTCTCACCCCTGAATACTACAGTATGTATGACCAAAGAACAATGTCTACATAGTCATAACACCATTTTTACACCTGACATTTTTAAAAGTCCAGGCCATTTTCCCACAGAATTTCCCACAATTTGAATTTGTCTGATTATCTCATGATTAGATATATTCAGATTAAACATTTTAGTGTACATCCCTCTCCATCACAGCAGGGGGCACATAATGTCAGTTTGTCCTTTATTGGTAAGGCTGAGTGTGATCACTAAAGGTTCCTTTTCCCTTTATAGTTAATATGTAAGCTGGGATAATACTTTGAGACTGTCTGATTATCCTTCTCCCATACAGCTTTCATCTAGTGGTTTTAATGTCAATTGATTCTTCCCTGCATCAGTTATTACACTGGTGATTTTAAAATATTGAATATCTTTGTGAAAGGGAAATTTGTTTAAGATTTGGCATATTAGAGGAGATACATACATGCATCTGTTTGTTAATACTTAAAGTTAACTTTTGTCAGCCAGGCAACTTTTAGGTGAACTTCTAGTTGTTTATGTGGTAGTTGATTGCTTTATTCTTTGTAGCATCTTTAAAAATACTTACCCTGGATATGCTGTTTAATCACATTATTATTACTTAATACAAAAAATTTTAGATAGTCTTAGTCTGCTCAGTTGGTGGATCTAGATATTATTAATAATTTGGTATCTAATCTGATCCACATAATGGAATAAGTAAAAGCATCATCTTCAGTTGACCTCGCATAAATGAATTCTGTCTAAAACTGTGCTATTTAAAGTTGGTTGGCAGACGAGCAGCATATCTACATTTACTGGTACTTTGTTAGAAATACAAATTTGGGGGTCTACCCCAAACCTATTGAATTAGAATCTCTGGGAGTGGGGCCCAGGAATCTGTTTTAACAAGTTCTCCAGGTACTTTTAATGTATACTGAAGTCGAGAAGTAGTGATCTAAAATACATATTTGGGCCAGGCCTGGTGGCTCACGCCTGTAATCCTAGCACTCTGGGAGGCCGAGGCAGAGGGATTGCTTGAGCTCAGGAGTTCAAGACCAGCCGGGGCAAGAGCGAGACCCCGTCTCTAAAAAATAAATAAATAAATAAATAAAATACATATTTGGTATATACTAATTATGTATTAGGTGCAGTGAAGAATTAGTGTGGATACTGAGCTACAGCATGCAGTATCTACAACAGTATTGGGAAGCAAAGATAATACAAAGAGATTAGAAGTAGACACATTACAAATAGTAAGTACTTGGCAGTCATTGGGGAAAATGCAAGTTTAGTTTGTTTATACTATGGTCAAGTACCACAGTGTGCCACAATGGATACCTTGTACTGTGTACTAGGGATTCAGAGTGAGAGCTACTTTTCCTATCTCGTAGCTTAGTCTGGCAGAGGAGACAGACTAATGCTATGATAGTGATATCCCCAGATGTTATAGGAACATAGGTGAAGAAAAGTGAATCCTTTTTTGGGGGCCCAAATCGGGCTTCTGCCATTCAGTGGTCCTCTAGTAGATTCTGTGGATAAATAGAAATTGACTGGTTAGAAAAGTGAGAGCTAGGGAGGAAGGACATAGGAAAGTGTTGACATAAAAAAGTATTCTTCTGTGTTTTGGCAGCTGCAAGTATATATGAATACAGGGTCTGGGTGGGGAATGGAGAAAAAAGAGAAGTCGAGAGAGGCCAGGGTTTGAAGGGCTATAGGCTATATAAAAGAGTTTAGGTTTCATCCTGACAATGTAAAAATTTTAAGGAAGGATGTGATATGAGATTTTTGGAAAAGTAATTTTGATAGCCATGTAGAGAATTAGAAGAAGGCTATACTGGAGGCAGGAAGATAAGAGTCTGTTGTGTTCAGGTCAGAGTGGTGAGGGCCCGCACTAAGGAATGCTGGGCTAGAGAGGTGGGTACTGATAGAAGGGTATTTACAGAGGTGAATAGATGATTTGGTGGGACCAGTTGGATATGGGAGGCGAGGAAGGCAAATAAAGGATGACCTTCTAGATATCTACCGTAGGTAGCTGGGTACATTTACAACTTGTGGATATAGGAGGTAGGGTTAGTTTGCTAGGGTAGATGATAATTTTAGATATATTGCATTGAGATTGTAAAGGTGCCATTCCTCTATCAACAATACAGGGAATTTGTTTGCCAGGCTTGAAAAAATTTTTCTGGTATTCTATCAACATTTTTTTCTCACTTTGTCGTATGAAACAACTTAGACTTTAAAGTTGTCTTTGGACAACACATTTGTAGAGTGCAGAGTACTTATTTTTAGACTTACAGTGGTAGGGAGAATAGAGGAGAGAGCAACATGCTTGCTGACATTGACCAACTCCTATTGGTATCCTCCCTGTTTCCTGTCAGGCACCTCAGTTGAATGAGATGTCATTAGTGAATGTGAAGGTGACTTGAGGTCTTCTCTCTTAATCTAGTTTGTGTGTATATTAAGGATTCCAGAAAGAATGTCATGGCCTCCATTATCCAGATCCCCTTGCGTTTCTGATTTAAATTAACTAGAAAACAACAAGACCTTGAATCCTAATGTCTAAGAGTTATCATCAAAAGCAACATTGGCTGGTTGTCAATGCCACCATATATGGTAGAGGCAGGAATTTTTAACTCTTCATGTTGTTGTCATTGTCTTAGTTACTAAAACTTTTCATCTTAGTTTCCTTATCTGTTGAGTGAGAGTATTAGCCTAGACAATCTCTAAAATCCCTAGCTATAACATTTTTTACTTGTATATTTAAAAAAAAGGTGAGGTTTTGCTGAGAGAATCTTGCTGTTTCATTTATTTATTTTATTTTATTTTAAGAGACAGGATCTCGCTTTGTCACCAGGCTAGAGTACAGTGGCAGATTGTAACTCACTGCAGCCTTGAACTCCTGGGCTTAAGCTCTCTTTCCACCTCAGCCTCCCATAGCTGGTACTATAGGCATGTGCCACCCACCTGGTTTGCTGTTTTAGATTGAGGCAGTGTATTGTAATAGACGGCACTAAACGGAGAAAACTTAAATTTTAGTCCTATGTTTACCATTATCCTGCGTAGTGATTTTGGGCTTCCCTTATCTGAAAAATGAAATTGGATGATGATCTACGTATTAAGGATCACTTCCAACTTCAGGTGATACAGTATTATGGACAGAATGTAGTTTGTCTTTCATTATTGAATATCTGTAAATTTATAAGTTACTCCTGTCTTTCAGTTAGTTATGTTCTTTATCATGGGAACAAAATAATCTGCTAAAATGAATTATGCCTCTGGTTAATCCCTCTTTCCTTTGTATGGCAATTGCCTCACTTAACGTAAGCACCTGCCTTCCCTCATTCAGTGTATGTAAGTAATTGATGGCATCTCTCTGATGTCCTAAAATAAGTCCTTGAGACCTTTTCTTAAGAAACATGCAATACATGAGAATATTATTTGTCAATTAAAAAAGCATTAAGATTTCAGAAAACATTGGGATTTTGCCTTTTTTGGGGGCCATAATACTAATAAGCAAAATTCTCATATTTTCTTTATTCTGTTCTATTGCCACAAACTGGTAGTAATGGCTGGTACTCGTATAGCTCCATTCATACTGTTGTTCACTATTAAGGGGACTGGGTAGGAAGGAACATGAATGGCTCTGAGGAATACTTTGCCATGTGGCAGAAAACTTGAGTGTGTCTGCTGCTCTCAGGTACTACAAAGCCAGAAGTTTTTTCTTTCTCCTTCATATCCTCCATCCTACTTTTAGCTGTTTTTCAAGGACTCTCTTAAGTTCTTCATGCTCCATGAAACCTTCTGAAATTATTGTAGAATTTACAATCTTTTCTGAACTCATTTCACGTGTATAGTTTATACAGTAGAGCTTAGCACTGAATTATCCTCAAATTCTCTAATATATGAGTTTTTTTTTTTTTTTTTTTTTTTTTTTTGAGACAGAGTCTCACTTTGTTGCCCTGGCTAGAGTGAGTGCCGTGGCATCAGCCTAGCTCACAGCAACCTCAGACTCCTAGGCTCAAGCGATCCTACTGCCTCATCCTCCTGAGTAGCTGGGACTACAGGCATGCGCCACCATGCCCGGCTAATTTTTTCTATATATTTTTAGCTGTCCAATTAATTTCTTTCTATTTTTGGTAGAGACGGGGTCTCGCTCTTGCTTAGGCTGGTTTCGAACTCCTGAGCTCAAACAATCCGCCTGCCTCGGCCTCCCAGAGTGCTAGGATTACAGGCGTGAGCCACCGTGCCTGGCCATGAGTATTTTTTTAATGTCTCCTTAGCAAAGCAACCAATTTCTGTTACTTAGCATGACATATACGTAGTGGGTGATGAATACTATTAAGGTTGAGCATCCCTAATCTGAAAATCTGAAAGCTGAAATGCTCTAAAATCTGAAACATTTTGAGCATCAACATGATGTCACAAATGCAAAATTCCACAAAGAGTACTTACCATAAATTTTGTTTTATGCATAAAATTATTTAAAATATTGTATAAAATTACCTTCAGCCTATGAATATAAGGTATATATGAAGAATAAATGGATGTCATGTTTAGACTTGCGTCCCATCACCAAGGTATTTCATTATGTATATGCAAATATTCCAAAATCCAAAAACCTCCGAAGTCTGAAACACTTCTGGTCCCAAACATTTCACATAGGGGATATTCAACCTGTATTATTATTAATAGCTTTTTATGTACTGGTCTTGTTAATGGATGCTTTATAAATATTATTTCTAATTTCTATAACAATTTTGCAATGTAGTTATCATCTCTGTCTCCAAGAGGAAATGGCAGAGGCTAAAGAGCTTACCCAAGATGTCAGGATGCATACCACATATTCCAGACCATTCATTCAGTCATGTAAATACTTGACCAATTGATGATGATATAAAGAGAGTAAATTTATTATATTGTTATAACT